CCTATCCAGTACGTACGTATCCTATCCGGTACGTACGTATCCATTGCAATTTTAATATCCTAATATAAATAATACCAGTATATCTACGCGTTTGTACTAGTACTAGTAGTAAACCAGTCCTGTACCAAGAGCATAGTGATATGCCCTATCAAGAATTAACCCGACGTGCTACTACTAATATGACTATATATAAGTATATACATGAATATATATATACGTAATTAAACTATTGGTGGAATAATAAAGTAAATATTAATTCTAATCCGTTGGAAAAAAATGTGATCAAAACTGATCACAAAAAATTGTGATCAAGAATTTCATCAATTTTGTGATCATTTCTGATCACATTTTTTTGTGATCAAAACCGATCACAAAATGAAAAAAGGGGACCGGAGAATTTATTTTTTTCTAAAAACATGAAATCGACATGGTTCCAGTAGTTTTTAGACTTTTAGACCATCTAGATTAACGGGAATCGCCCTTTAGCATGCAAACACGACTCATAACCTATTCAAAATGGAATCGTACAAGAAGCTACCAACCTCGTATGGCACGTACGGTACTGTGGTCACAACGTCCCCAGTCTCGAATAGTATTTTTTTTATGTATCGTCTTGATCTAATTCCGGTAAAATGGTTAATTTCTTCGGTACGATCGGCTTTTCGTCACAAGCTGCGGTGGAATCGAAAGCAGTGCGATGGATGACAGATACGAAGATAGCAAGAGCCACCAAGTTGGCAATGCCCCGGTTGATGACGTCGATTCTACTGCGAACAACAATCTTGCGACTGCGTCGTCGTCATCTACGCAAGGAGACAATGCAAATGGCATTGACATTCGCCAAGCACTCGAGATCTTGTCCTCCCGCACTCCTCATGATCACCACGAAGATGGTCACGAGAATGCAAAACACTGCTGTGCGGATGTAACTAAAAACCCTCCGCCAGATGTATTGAGAAATATGGGACAAACGATTGATATGTTTGCGCCATCGACCGGATCGTCTATTGATGCTCCCAAGCCTCCATCTACTTCGCAAACGACGTCGAGTAACAACCAGGTCGATCCGTCAGAACGGCGAAAAAAAATTAGAGACAGTCTTCGGGGTCTTTCAATAGTTGCTTCACTCAAAATGCTTTTAACTGCGCAGGAGGACAGAGTTCGAACTTATCGACTCTATGACGAGGCCCTCGGTAAAGTGTTGTTGTCGAACCGATTGACAGACTACCCTCCTGCATGTGCCGCAGCTACTGCTGCTTTCTCTGTTCTCAGCGATACTGTCGCAGCTGTTCGAGATGAATTATCCAACCGAATAGAGCTGCTGTTGAAAAATAATGACGGGAAGACTTCTCCAACTTCATTAGCATTATCGAGCATTATCGAATCGATCAATAGTCTCCAATCTTTAGAACGCGAGAAACTGCAGATCACGGCGGCGTATCACTTAGAGCAGATTCGTGCAAATAACCTGAAGGAATCCAAAAATCTCGATGACAACGATGACACTAAGGATTCTCATGAGCTTTCGCTACTGAACAAAGGGATCAGCGATATGCGTTCTCGAAATGAAACTTGTAGATCAAATATCAATGGCATCATAGAGGATTTACGATGCACCTTGGTTGAACTAATGGAAGAAGGAGAAGACGAATAGTAGGTACTGAAATTATGGTCTAACTGAATCATGGGCTGTTCCAGAACAGGGGAAATAATCTATGTAGCCTCACTGTTAGTTTGTAGAGATGCATTATATGTGAAGAGAAATCTAGCATGGTTTTGACACTGATTTCGAATAGTTTTTATGTCTTATTATCAATGATACGATTAAGGGAAAAGTTGAATTAAGCATTGAAAACCAAAAATGGTGAGCCTCTTCTATTGCAGGGACCCAATTTTAAAAGCATGGTTTGCGGCGCGGTGAGTCTCGTCAGATACGCTCATATGCGAATAAACCCATCCCGTTTGACAAATCGGAAGGTTCTCGATTTGTTAATCTGTCGGTATTAGATGTAACGAAGGTAAGGTTTGAAGTGAATCCTTTCTTATTCAATCATCATGGGGGCTGGCTGCTCGCGTTGTAAATAAATGACAATGTTATTACTTCCACTTCAATATTTAGATATTGTTCACATTTTTATATTTCTATTTGACTACAGATATCAAAAGTAGTTGAATAAGATTGTCACTTGATCAATCCCGAACAACTTTCTTTGAACCCCATGAAGTCTTTTTCAACTGTGCCACCCACTCGACCGCAATCATAGCTGAGCGCAATTTCATTCGAGCATTGAAAGTCTTCAACCTCTGTGAAGTTCCCTGGAGAGTAATGCGAGCCAATCGGTCTCTCGAGGCCTTCATCCATCTATGCCTCAAGGCTTGCGAAGCGGTAATTCTTTCATCGGGGTCTAAAACTAGCAATTTCTTCACTAAGTCTTTCGCATCCTCAGAAACGCCGTCCCAACCCTCTTCCTTAAACTCGTATTTGCCCGATACGATTTTTCGAAACAATTCCTTTTGACTTCTACCATTAAAGGGGAGATTCCCGCTGAGTAATAAGAACATGATACACCCTACAGACCACATATCTGTTTGCTGATCATATGACTGTCTCATGAGAATTTCTGGAGAAACAAAAAATGGTGTGCCGCATTGTTTCGTCAAACATTTCTCGGTATGACAATGAGCAGCAAACCCAAAATCTGCCACCTTGATGTAAGAATGATTGTCTTCGCTCATCAAAAGGAGATTCTTTGGCTTCATATCACAGTGGGCGACTTTGTGCGCGTGGCAATATGCCATGGCCTTGAGCATTTTAAGAGAAAGGTCTCTAGCATCTTCTTCGGAATATGATTTCTTCTTCCCGATACGATCAAAGAGGTCACCACCGCTCATGAGCTCCATAACAAGAAAGTAACAATCTTTTTCTTCGAAAAAATCAATGAGCGGAACAACATGGGGATGCGATAGCGACGACATAATTGACACTTCTTCGTATATAGCAGCGTCATCATTCGGAGGGAGATCCTTTCGAAGCACACATTTTATCGCCACCTTTTTCCCAGTTGCCCGATGTGTTCCTCGGCAAACCGTCGCGAAGGAACCAGATTTGAGCTGCGATACAGTCGGAAGAAGTACCGTCACACGACGATGCAACGGCAACGAGAAGGTTGCGATACAGATCAAATGGAGAAATAATTTTCATAAGAACGGCGCACAATCAAAAAATGCTATCCATAACCACGAACACATGTGAAAACTCCGAGATTATTCCACCGTTCATGTTTGCATGTAAACAATCAATAAAAAAAAGATTTTTGCCTTACCCTTGCATTCAATTGGTAAATCTCTCGGAAAGACTTATCTTTCAGCCCTTCTGGAAAGACTGGAAACTCGCATCTCACTACTCCCTTTCTGACCATCAACGCAGTAAATTCGAGCACGCCCTTGGCCTCTCGAAACCCGGGCAAAGTCGTCGATGTAGTAGAATCGTTTTGTTTTCCTACGAGTTTGGTATCGACGACAAACGTGGTGATGCCATTCCCTTCTCCTTTGGCGTAGCACACAACTGTAATCATGTAATCGGTTGCTCCAACATCTGGATTCATTTCCAATACCCATGTACAACCTTTCGGCTTGAACTTCATCGATATTAGGTCCGACTTTTGCTTTTTCTCATCCACAATCTTGGAGAGATACTTCTGGACACTGTCAACAATGAACTGAAGCTCCTGTGCGTCATTTTCCAAATCTGAAACCTCCGAATTCAAGAGTTTCGTGTTAGTTTGATACGATTTAGTTATGGCGGCAAGGCCGTTACCTTTTTTGCTTTGCGATAAGCGTACGTGGTCTTCGAGTAAGAGAGATGGACAGAGACTTTCCCGCCGTTTCGCCTGCTTTTCAATCTGGGGTGTCAAATACACCTTTGGCGAAGAAGACTTGCTAGAAGACTTGCTTGAAGACTTGCTCGATGACTTCTTAGACGACATTTTTCGTGGCTTTTATGTTCTCACGACGCAACGAGTGTTCTAGCAAAGTGACGAAGATTAAACAGGTTACCCGAAGATTTGATAAACAGAGATTGCAGCGATGACGCGGTACGGGTCTGCTGCTAAAACGATTCCGATAATGGAAATATCGTTACAAATATATGGAGAGGCAATTTGTCCAAGTGAGAATTCGTACCCCAGGATATTCGTTTCCTTAATGACCTCCTTTGCAGTTAATATTGCACTATGGGTCGGAAACAAGAAGGTTTCGATTTTCGCATCGACAAAACTGGACCCCTTGCACCCCTATCGTTAGCTTCTACTGTTGTTGGAAGCTCAAGAAAATATCCTTTCGATTACCAGATGATTCGAGGGATTTCACGTACCTCTCCTGATTGTTTCAGTACGAGATGTACAGTACCTGGTACGCTTTCGGCAGTTGGGAAGGCTTTAATGGGCCAACTGCGCGCTATCCATGGCATCTCACGCTCGTCTGTGTTCGCAGCAATCCGCTGTTCGCCGCATAAAAAAAAACCAATTATGTGCCTCAGCACAACTGTTTGCTGCCAACAAGTACAGTACTGTACAGTATGTACTTCTACTAGTACGTACCGTTACTATTCAGAGATTTGTGTTCTACGGTACGTACCAATCCTACCAGGATTTTTTTCAAGTAGCATTTGAGCTATGACTATTAAACCTTGTACTGTTTAATAGGCATGTACCCTACTGGTACAGTAGTATTGACATTGATTAAGACGTACGATACTACTCGCCAATGGTCATAAAAAAAATACTGTATTTATTAGAATACAGGTACAAGTACGCGTAGGTACCAGTCAAAGGTCATAATATTTTTTTTAAGTCATGGCATGGGTACGAGTATTACTCTCGTCCCGTAAACGTGTCTGCACAAAACAATTACTTTGCGGTATTTCGGTTTTACTGTCGTGTATGGTAGGAGTAATACTACTATGCACAAGAATAACAATTGAAATCCTGCTACACAGAGCATTAGTAGCCTGGAGGAGACCCCTGCTACCACTGGCAATGGTTATTTGCTGTTTGTTGCTGCTTCAGGGGGGACAAGAATACTAAACCTAGTAGTATCCCTAAACCCTTGTTGTAGTCATAGTAGTACTAGTAGTAGTACCACCAGAGTACTTTTTTCATAATATTCCAACATACAAGAATAATTCAGTAGAATTTGTACTAAAAGCTTTTACACTGAGAAGCTTCTTCACTACAGGATTCCATATCATTTGTACAGTACTACATTATGGACTGAAACACATCATTCACTGTACAGCACCACAAACAACAATGCTCATTATTCTAGCAACAGCAATATCCTCCCAAAGAAGGCCTTGACTACTAGTATGGGAAAAATATTCCTTCTTTTTAATGCTAGTTATACTGTAAGTGTTTGTGTTCTTCTCTTTATCAGCATCCTGCATAGTGCCTCATATAGCATCAACATCCTGCTATGTATTGTCCTGCATCACCAGTGTCCTCTGGTGTATCACCAGCATCCTCTATATCTCCTGTATCTGCATCAGTAGCACCATGATTGTACAACATCAGTGTCCTCTGCATCAGCGTCTTCTGCATCAGTGTCCTCCAAATCAGTGTCCCCTGTATCTGTTTCAGCAGCACTTTACAGCATCGGCATCCTCCTTATTTTTATCAGGAGCACTGTACCAGCACATCAGTGTCCTCTATAGTACTAATATCAGTGCCCTTCTCACCAGTGACTGGTTTCAGTATCTCCATACTATCAGTGCTGCTTCTGTGTCAGTACGACTGCCTCCATATCAGTGCCTCTACTATATCAGTGCCTCTGTATCAATGTTGACTCTATATCAGTGTGACCTTTGTTTTATTGCCTCCAAATTAGAGCCTCCATATCAGCAACTTGTATCAGCGCCTCCATATCAGCAGGGCCTCCATATTAGCACCTCTGTATCCTCAGTTCCTCCTTACCAGCCCCTCTACTATATCAGCACTATCAGCATCCTCAGTATAAGCAATTTGTATCAGTGCCCTCTGTATCAGCATCCTCTCTACCAGCATCTCCTCTGAGTATCCTCTGTACTAGAGGAGTATCAGCAGTAGCACTGTAGACAGCAGTAGAAGCAGTACTAGTGTATTACAATAGTCTACATGATGGTAGTAGTAAGATGGCACTGGGAGTACTCCTTGTGGTACCATACTAGTACTCCAGGTGAGTACTCCGGTAATCTAATTTTTGCAATGTCAAGCATTTGTCAAAGAACCTAAGTAAATGAAATAATGAGGTATTTAGATAGGTTCAACCAACAAAAATGAAAGTGGTACTGGAGAACTCAGCAATTGGAGTACTCCGGTAATCCAATTTTTGCACAGTTGAGTACATGTTGGAGACCCTAAGTAAATGAAAAAATGAGGTATTGAAATTGGCTCAACGGACAAAAATGAAAGTGGTACTCTGGTACCACCGTATGGTACTCCGGTACCATCTTACTATGTACCAGTTCTGTGCTCTACTGCTATCTATGGTACAAGTTGCTGATATGCGTTGCTGGTATGAGTTGCTGGTATGAGTTGCTAATAGGAGTTGCTAATACTAGTTGCTAATACTAGTTGCCGATATGAGTTGCTAATACAGAGAATGGTGCTGATATGGAGGCTTGCTGATACCAAGGATGTTGATACAAGTCGTTGATATGGAGGATGCTGATACGAGTTGCTGGTACAGAGGATGCTGCTGTTATGGAGGATGCTGTTACAAGTTGCTGATATGGACACTGCTGATATGGACAACACTGGTGGAGGCAGTGCTTGTAGTTTGCTTGCCAGATCTAGGGAGGGAAAGAGGCCATTCGCTCATATTGTTGAAGGTCAGTGCTTGTAGTTCATTTCCTGGCTCCAGGGAGGAGCTGGTGGGAAGGAATAAGAGCCTGTTCCCCTATATACAAGGAGGGAGTGCTTGTAGTTTGGTTGCTGATGTGGAGGACACTGATATGGAAGATGCTGATACGGAGGACAACACTGCTGATATGGATGACACTGATATGGAGGACCCTGATACAGAAGACAATTCTGACAAAGGACACTCACATTTCTTCCAAGGAGGCCTATTCCCATGCTCAAAGTACAAGAAGCCTTTGAAAGTGAGCTAGATTTAAATACTGAATATTACAGCTGCAGCAGTTCTGCAAGTGAAATCAAAAAATGCAGCACAGTAGAATGAAGTACAGATTCTACTGAATGATGGGTTTTGAAATTAGTACTCTGGTACCAACTTGTACTGGGGCTACACAAAGGCCCTAGCAATACAGGTTTTTTGTTGTCCTACTCCAGTACCAACTTGTACCAAGCCTACATAAATCAGGTATTTTTGAGGCCCCCGGCCAAGGAAAAGGAGTGTTCCTATAGCAAAATTCTAGAGCAGCTCACTTGCCTTGGAGTTGGTTTTGGTGGCATGTGTCTGTCTCTATCTTAAAAGAAAATCCCCGGTGCACATGCCTCTGATTTTCTTTTTGACCACAGGGACAGCACTTACCACCAGAATCAGAGGACGGGGTGGTACTTTTAGTACCATCTTACTATGCACTACTATGTTCTACTGTTATCTACAGTGCTATGAGTTGCTGATATGGAGGATGCTGATACAGAAGAGGTAGCTCTGATGCTGACAGGGACAAGCTGATACGGAGGAGGATGCTGATACAGACACTGATGGAGGCAGTGCTTGTAGTTTGCTTGCTGAGACTCCTTTTCGAAGGTCCTCCATAGGGCATTGGAAAAGGAGCCTCCTCTAAAGGAATTTGGTACCAGGTACTCCCTGGTCAGTACCTGGAGTCTGTTTTGGTGGCACGCATCTGTCCAAGAATATATTTCCAACACAACAATTGTCATCACAACAAAAATTCAATAGAAAAATGGTGAAGTTGGACAATATTTTGTGATATGTGTTGGCGTGCTGGACATATTTTACTACAGAAGAAGATAGCCAGAAATCAACAACTTTATCATAGATTTGGGGGCCATGTCTACTATACAATAATAAGAGTTATTCTGTAGATGAGGTTGGGGAGCTTCTTGTCATAGTAGTTTGTCACCGTCCTCTCTGCTTGCTCCTTCTGCTCTCTTTCTCTTCTTAATCCAACAAACCATCTTGATCCAATTCTTTACCAAAACCTAGTACAAGTAATAACCCCCATTAAATTGTCAGTGTTAATCTGGTTGTGCTCCTTGTTTGCAAGTGAGGAGTACTCCCCCTGTCAGAGTAGTACTAACAACAACTACTAGGAGCACCCCTAGAGCTATGGTTCTGGTTTTCCTACTACTACTAGTACTACTACTAGTACTACTACTA